ATTATCCATTGCTCATGCCAGCTTCCAGAACAAGACAACTTCCATCGAATCCAAACTTCATATTGGCTAAAACATGTCCCGTTGTCAACTTTTCGGGCACAGGCTTCCGAGTTCCAATCATGATAAAGTGATAAAATTATCTCCTAGGCTGGGAATGACTCATACTCTTTTGATTCTATTTATACGATAGATAGAGAAAAAAAATTTTAGTCATATTTATAAAGTAAAAGGAGAAAATTTTCATATAAATACATAATTTTACTCATCATTTATTATTGTATTGATTTTATTCTCATAAGGTATAATGCATATTAAAGAGAGCTAAAATTAGAAAATTATTGAATTTTGAAAAGGAGATACTGAAGTTAATATCTTTCTCTGTCTATATTAAAAATAACTTATAAATCTATATATTAAGCAATACTTGTTGACATGAACGCTCACTGGTATTTCCCAGGAAAAATTACTAGATAAATTTATTTTAATTCCAGACGAAAAATATTAATTTATTTAATCTTCTAAGTAAATTTTTTAACCTCTTTTATTTCATTATGAGGATATTTATAATATAACTATAAAAAAGTAGTTTAAGTAAATCAACATGTATTTTTTTTTCATAAATAACTAATTTAATTAATCTTTTAATCTTATAATTAATGATATAATTACGATCTGATGGAACATTAGATAAGCTAGCTAATTAAACAATATCGAGGGGTAAACAATCCCGTGAGAATCAAGGAAACTCCAAGAGGTATCCAAAAAGACCAATCAAATTACGTTACCCTTCCTGCCCAATCAGTGAGCCACAATATCAAATAATAGAGAGTTCAAAGTCAAGGAAAAAAAATTATTTATTTATAATGCTGGTGTTTATGTATAATAGAATCTGCAATATATTTGATCACGTACATGGTCAGGTCAGGCACAGTGTAACACGCATATGCGTCCTGGGGTATGATTTCAAATGATGATATCATGAGCATTTAATAATTAATAATGTTTCTAGCTTTTCTCTCCTGCAATTATTTTTTGACTTTTAAAGGAAAATCAATTGATGTGTTTGATAATAGCACACAAAATCAGCTAATAGATCAATCTGTAACGGTATTTATTTTTTGGCCGTTAGATTAGCTGAACATTGCCCTGGTCAAAAAAAAAAAAAAAAAAAGCTGAACATTGGCGCAAAAGGCTGAAAAAAGAATGTTCCCGCTGTTGAATTTTTTAAAAAAATAAAAGATAGGAAAAAAACAGAAAAATGCACCTCCAACTCCAAAAGCCCAGAAACGTCCGCCCAATTCCACAAATCCCATTTTGGTACCATGAGACCAAATTGGGATTATTATGTGAAGGAAAAGACCACATTGCCCTTCATTTTAAATATTATTTTAAAATATCACAGCCCTACTGGCCGGCTGGTCACCGGACCTCCAGCAGTGGCGGTCACCGGAGCTCCGGCGACAGCCGACAATTGGTCACCGGAGCTCCGGTGGTCGGAATTTTTTTTTTGAAAATTTTTATAATTCAATATAACGGTTAACAACTTTTGTAATGCTATTAACAACTTCAGTATAGCAATTAACAACAGCTTTTCTAGAAAATTCAACAAACTCCAGCGACCGGAAACAATTATTTTGAAAATTTTTACAACTTCAATATAACCGTTAACAACTTTTGTAATGCCATTCACAACTTCAATATAGCAATTAACAACAGCTTTTCTGGGAAATTCAACAAACTCTGGCGACCAGAAACAATTTTTTTGAAAATTTTACAACTTCAATATAGCGGTTAACAACTTTTGTAACCCTATTAACAACTTCATATAGCGGTTAACAACAACAAACTCAGGTGACCGGAAACAATTTTTTTGAAAATTTTTACAACTTCAATATAACGGTTAACAACTTTTGTAAGCCTATTAACAACTTCAGTATAATGGTTAAAACAGTTTTTGAGTTTGTTAAAGGCATTACTGAAGTTATAAAAAGCCACTTTTTGAATTTTTCGAAAAACTTGTTGTTAACTGCTATATCAAAATTGTTAACCGTTATATTGGAGTTGTAAAAATTTTCAAAAAACGTAATTGTTAACGTTATACTGAAGTTGAAAATTTTTACAACTCCAATAAAGTTAACAACTTTTGTAATGCCATTCACAACTTCAATATAGCAATTAACAACAGCTTTTCTGGAAAATTTAACAAACTCGGCAATCAGAAACAATTTTTTTGAAAATTTTTACACTCAGTATTCAGTATAGCGGTTAACAACTTTTGTAACCTATTAACAACTTCAATATAGCGGTTAACAACAGGTTTTTGAGTTTGTTAAAGGCATTACTGAAGTTATAAAAATGTCACTTTTGAATTTAAAACTTGTTGTTAACTGCTATATCAAAGTTGTTAACCGTTATAGGAGTTGTAAAAATTTTCAAAAAAACATAATTGTGAACGTTATACTGAAGTTGAAAATTTTTACAACTCCAATATAACGTTAACAACTTTTGTAATGCCATTCACAACTTCAATATAGCAATTAACAACAGTTTTTCTGGGAAATTCAACCAAACTCCGGCGACCGGAAACAATTTTTGAAAATTTTACAATTCAGTATAGCGTTAACAACTTTTGTAACCCTATTAACAACTTCAGTATAGCGGTTAACAACAGGTTTTTTCAACCGCTATACTGAAATTGTTACCGCTATACTGAAGTTGTAAAAATTTTCAAAAAATGTTTCCGGTCGCCGAGAGTTTGTTGAATTCCCAGAAAAGCTGTTGTTAATGCTATATTGAAGTTGTGAATGGCATTATAAAAGTTGTTAACGGTTATATTGAAGTTGTAAAAATTTTCAAAATATTGTTTCCAGTCGCCGGAGTTTGTTGATTTTCTAGAAAAGCTGTTGTTAATTGCTATACTGAATTGTTAATAGCATTACAAAAGTTGTTAACCGTTATATTGAAGTTGTAAAAATTTTCAAAAAAAAAAATTCCGACCGCCGGAGCTCCGGTGACCAATTGTCGGCTGGTCGCGGAGCTCCGGTGACCGCCGCTGCCGGAGGTCCGGTGACCGGCGGCCAGTAGGGCCGTGTGTGCTGTGATATTTTAAAAATAATATTTAAAATGAAGGACAATGTGGTCTTTTCCTTTCACATAATAATCCCAATTGGTCTCATGGTACTAAAATGGGATTTGTGGAATTGGGCGGGACGTTTCTGGGCTTTTAGAGTGGAGGTGCATTTTTTCTTCTTTTTCCCTAAAAGATAAAGTTAAAAATTTTTAATTGATTTTTCTTACTATTTACCTTATATTTTTTCTTTATCAAAATTTTATATCTTCAAACTTCAATTATATAATTTTTTAAATCGAACTAATTAAAAAATCATTTTGCCTACTCTCTGTTTTATTCATACCAGACAGTACACATAGGGTTATACTTACCAAAAAAAAAAAAAATCAACGTTTGGTCTTTCTGTTTAAAGTAGAGTTTCAATGTTCAATGATAAAAATTGATGATATTATTTGAGTTTGGACGCAACTGAAGATGAAAGTTCAAAAGGAAGAGGTGCCTTGTGCTCGTGCGAGACGTTGTTTGTAAGTTACGCGAAAAGCCGAATAATTGATCTACTTGGACTTGCCTATAATTTTCTCTTATTCATTGCAAAAACTATTTATTTTACCCGCAATAATTTGGGTTTTGGGTATTTTAAATATTTTTATTACATGTATTATTAAGATGTAGTAACCTTGGCTAATATAAATATATATATTAAATTCATGGATCAGTTTGGGCACCTAATCTCTCCTCTTCCTCGTCATCGAAAACGATATCAAATTATCAATGCATTAAATAGGTTCTTCTGAAGGGTAATGTAGTTAAGGAAAGAAGAGGGGAAGAGAATGAAAAGGAATTGTAAAGGATCTCATTCTTTATAAATTTAAATTATACTACCTCCTATTTTAGTTATAAGATTCTGTTTATATGTTATAAATAAAATCTTATAATTAGCACCGAAAATAATAAAAAATATAGTACGTTTAATACACTGTAACTTCTCATTTAGTGAGTTCTTTATTCAATAAAAAATAGTACATTTCATCATAATTTTTATTTAGAAAAGAGGAGAGATGACATGATATTGATATATTAGCAGGGTCAGAAGAAAAGAAGATTATCACATGTTTAAAATATTAGTTGATATAAAAATACTTGTACTTAAAATCTTAGAAACATGCTTAGAAAAAAATTAGTCGGTGGGAGGGAAAGACAATGTCGCCCTTGTCCCCCCGCTCCCCCAATTCTTTCGTCATTGCAGTTTATTTTCTGTTTCAATGCACCTACTATAATGCAAAAAACGCGTAGTTCCCCCCCCCCCCCAAAAAAAGCAAAAACACGCCTAATGGCTGTTTAATTACTCTTTGCTACGTAATTTCCATTTATTTATTTTATGTAATTAGAAGCATTCCATTCTGTTGGCCAAAAAAAAGAAAAATAGAAAAAAAGGAAGCATTCCAATCTAATTCCCACCATGGATGTCTGTCCATGGGACACCTGGCAGCATCTACCTAGTGCCAGTTTGCTGCTTTTTTTTTTTTTCAATTAGTTAATAATACTCCTCCTATAGTAAAATAGAAACTAATCAGAGAATTGATATTAGTAATATATAAGACCTATTTTATATATATTATTTTTTCCTAAATTAACTCTATTGACAATAATGAGTAGGAGAAGGAGGGAATAAATAAGAAATATACTTAGTCAACTGCATTGCTTTCGTTTGTTTATAAATTATAATTAATTACTTTATAAATGGAATCAATTTATTTGAATAATACGGCACATGATAAACGATTCACTTTTTTTTTTTTGGCAGAAGTCAACCTCTTGACTCCGAGAATGAATAAAATAATCTCTTATTACGAACACAATGTAGTTGCCCCAAAATCTCTGCTGCCACCCCCGGAAAGGGTCACCCATCACCCCCTCCCTGGATGTGCGCTAGGTAGTGATAGGCCGAACCGAATAATGAGAATATAAAGGGGAATGAAAACCGAAGGAGACCACTGGATGAAGATAACGACTTTGAACTTGATAAAGAACTCCCACCAGCCGTCGTCATCGTCGACGTTCACGTCCTTCTCTTTTGGCGGGTAGGAAGAAAGAGCAAGACAAAAGCAAGCCTAGATTATTGCTCCATCTCCCTGACGATACTGTCTCTTTCCTTCTGAGAGTGAGACCTGAGCAGATTGTGCCGGGAACGTGGGCTGGCAGACCCATAAGATTTTAGGAGAAAAGCGATCATTTCCATATACTGTAACTGTATTCCTTGTTGGATAAACTCTGTTTTAATTTTTTATGGGTGTGTCGACTGATTCTTCGGAGGGAGGGAGTCATGGAGGAGAGGGTTCTTGGAGTTCATTGAGCTTTTTGACTAGAAGGAAGCTGGTGGATTCTGCTCACAAAAAGACTGAGGGTCAGCTTGCCAAGGAGTTATCTGTTCCCCATCTGATTGGAATCGGTAATTCTCGTCAAAAGCATTTTGTAATGAATCCCCCCCCCGGGGGGCGGGGGCAGGTGGTCAGGGGGCCTACATCCATTATGTGGCATAGGAGTTACATACCGTTTGAAACTTAATAGTATACCAGTTCTGAGCATTGGTTTGATGTTTCAATCTGCTCATGCTAAGCCATTCATTTCATTATCTCCGTCATGATTTCAGTCATTCTGTGTTTGATCCAATGCTGCTTTCTAGACTTGCAATCTTTCACCGTCTCACCCTTTGTTAATGCCGATTATCTTAGTAACACTATTCCCCTCTCTCGGCGGCAGAGATCAAATTGTAAATTTGACGATTATTATCGCACCATGACGATATTAGTAATTGGCCTATTGTTGGATAATTTCTTTCTCCCTCATCTATTCTTCTTCTGAGTTCATTCCTTGCAAACTGACTTTCATGTCTTCGTCAGGTGTTGGTGCGACAATTGGTGCTGGAGTCTACGTTCTTGTTGGAACAGTCGCTCGAGAACATTCTGGACCCGCCTTGGCCTTTTCTTTTCTCATAGCTGGACTAGCGGCTGCTCTTTCAGCGTTTTGCTACGCAGAGTTGGCTAGTCGTTGCCCTTCTGCTGGAAGTGCATATCACTATTCATATATATGTGTAGGAGAAGGGTACTTTCTCTAGATTCCTGGGGTTTTCTTCTGAAGTTATCTGACTGAAAATTTTGGCCTACGCTATGTTATTTTTCCCTTCTATGTGTGTTGTCTCTGCTCATCAAATGTTAAAATGCTCGTGTCAGAGTTCATTAGTTGGTCATTTATTCGGTGGTTGCTTTTCAAGTTATGGTAATAATCTGGTGATATAGATGTTGAGGATTTGGGTTTGCATCTCTTTCTGGAAAAAGTTATGATTCATCGTGAATGGGCAGATGTATTTTTCTGCTTCTGGGTCTGTGGAAGTTTGAGGTCTTTGTTGGTTGATAATACGTCAATTCAATGCTATAATGATCAACTGGAAGTTGATATTTTTTACTGATATAAATTGATAAAATAATATCTTCGTTTGCAGTGCTGCATGGTTGATTGGATGGGCCTTGATACTGGAATATACAATTGGTGGAGCAGCTGTTGCTCGTGGCATATCTCCTAACATGGTCTCATGTTTTCTTCAACTCTCCTACTGAATTCTTGTTTGCCTAGAAAATTTTCGATTAGATTTAGCTTTGAGTATGCCGTCATCTTTCTTTATCTGATTTAAACTGACATTGATTTATCCGCCACTTAATTTTTTCATTATTCGAGTACAAACCTACTATGTAAAATATCTGTTGCTCAAGCGTTTTTGTCATGCTTTACCATTCCAATCAATACAAGAGTGTAAACTGCCCTTTGCCTACCACACATATCTTTGTCAGTCTCCTAGAGGATCGTGTTTGTCTTGCTTGATCTACACTCAGCTTCATTTGGATTTTTCACATGTATTTATTTATATAACGTGTATTGCAAATTTATTCGTTTGAACAGAGAGTAAGATTCATATAATCCAGTTGTTTACCCCAAAATAAATATTTTTAGGCTGCATTTTTTGGAGGTATGGATCATTTGCCCTTCTTCTTAGCCCGTCAGCATATTCCTGGTACTGATATTGTTGTGGACCCATGTGCTGCAATTGTGGTACTTATTATTACTGGACTCTTGTGCGTTGGCATCAAGGAGGTAGATTTCTATAATAATCTCATTATTATGCTTTTTCTGATCCATTTCTGTTTGAAAATTCTTATTTTGGGTTCATGGGTTAAAATTCAAAATTTCCCTTTTGCGCAGTACTCCCTCTATTCATTTTTATAAGACGAGATTACCTAACTTATGGATACGGATAAAACAACTTTTAACTAATTGATGTTTTAAATTTTTTCCATATCTCCACTTCTACCCTCAATTAATGCTCATTTTCTTAACTTTACTCCATGGCGGGTTAAGTCTTTTTATTCATTGATTAGGGGCATTTTAGGGAAAAAAATTAATTATTCCTAAAATTTTTAGATTGTCTTGTATATAGGAACTTCATATCCTCCAGAATTTTGTCTTACTCTTAGGAACCGAGGGAGTATAATTTATATTCTATGCAACCTAGATGCACGGGTTGTCTCCCCTCTCCCTATCAATCCAACAATTAATCATCTTTTCAGTGCCAAATTTGAGAGATCTTCTTACTTTGAATATTCAATATTTGCAGAGTACAACGGTACAAGGCATAGTCACATCAGTAAATGTGTGCGCCTTGATTTTTGTCATAGTGGCTGGTGCTTACTTGGGATTCAAGTCTGGATGGGTTGGATATGAACTTCCTTCGGGGTACTTTCGATATTGTTTTACACTTCCCTATGAGCACGTTTGATTACCACTGACTACTTGCTACTTTGTTTCTTTTGCTGTGGTAGTTATTTTCCCTTTGGCGTTGATGGAATGCTTGCCGGTTCTGCAACAGTCTTCTTCGCATATATAGGTTTTGATTCTGTTGCCAGCACTGCTGAAGAGGTGATGTCATTTTGTTATAGGTGATGTCTTTTTTAGGTTATATTTAATTGAAGAAATAAGATTCCTAATAGTCTCTACATGATCAACAGGTGAAAAATCCTCAACGAGATTTGCCACTGGGTATTGGGGCTGCACTGTTTCTTTGTTGTGCATTGTATATGATGGTCTCCATCGTTGTTGTTGGCTTAGTGCCTTATTATGCAATCAATCCTGACACCCCCATATCCTCTGCGTTTGCAAACCATGGGATGCAATGGGCAGCGTAAGTTGCAATTCTACAATTGGTGCATCGCCTCCCCCCCCCCCCCCAAAAAAAAAAAAAAAGATATTGGCGATGAAATAGATTTACAGACTTGCAGTATTTGCTCATGTGACTTTTCCTGGTTGTTACTGTAGTTACGTGATAAATGCTGGGGCTTTTACAGCTCTTTGTGCATCATTGATGGGTGGTATACTTCCCCAGGTAAATTTTATATATTGCTGGTTTATAATGATGATTTCATTTTGTAGCTATCAAAGTTATTTTTTCCTTGTTTTGAAGTCTTCGGTTTTCCTGTTAAAGATATCAATGTACTTTATTTCATCATTTAGCCCCGAATTTTGATGGCTATGGCAAGGGATGGGCTGCTGCCACCATTTTTTTCAGACATTAATAAGTTCAGCCAAGTTCCCGTTAAGAGCACAGTGGCTACTGGCCTTGTAGCTGCAATCTTGGCGTCTTTGATGGATGTCTCTCAACTGGCTGGGATGGTAAGTCAACCTTCGCATCAGCTAGGATGCTTTAATATCTCTAGCTAAGATTGAGCTTGAAAAGCATTCATTTAAAGGTTCTATACTAATTGGTACTTTATGATATGGAAGAAGCCTCAGTTCTTTTGCAAATATACAAAGAACAATTCTTGAGTTCCAGTCTTATGATGCTAAATGCAAATTGGCTAAAATGAAACCCCTACGCATTTTATATTTCAAAATAAAAGCCAGGGGATCTTTTTTCTTTTCTTTGTATTTCTCTCAATTTTGAAATTTATGAGGCATAATGGTGAAGAAAATGCTTGTTATAATTAGGCATTATAAGTTAGTTCTGACTGCATGCCTGTTGTTCCATGGTCGGTTCCTTGATCTCCGCATACAAAGGTAACGTGGAATTTGCTTCTGTTGCAGGTTAGTGTGGGGACGCTTCTTGCGTTCACCACGGTTGCAGTATCTATATTAATATTAAGATACATCCCTCCAGATGAAGTCCCATTACTGCCTTCTCTTGAGGAATCAAGTGATTCGGTACCATCCAAAAGCCGTTGGATTAGTGATGACAGATATGATAAACATGGAGAGGCAAATATTTGTACCTCTGAGGACATCAAACCTGTAGTTACCAAAGAGGATATGCCAATCGACTGTCCTCTTCTTTCTCGGCATTTTGCCATAGGCAACTGTAAGTCATGCCTTTCCCTCTCAAATCTCTTATCAAATACCTGTATTGTACAGATATAAGCACTACAGTTTTTTTAAGCCTGGAAATGTTGTGCAGCAGAAATCAAGGATTAAAATTCGAAATTAGCTCTTGAAGTATGCAGCCAATGTTTTTACCTAATCCAGAATGTATTGTAATCATGATACACATAAATGGGGTTGTTTTAGATGTTTGTTCAAAATGTCATTCTGGTTATAATATGATTAACTTGTGGCATCTCGTTGCTTTATGCTATTTGGAATCTATTGTTCCCTTCTGATTCCTTGTTTATGAATGCAGATATAGATGAAAGTAATAGGAGAAAAATCGTTGGGTGGGTGATAGCACTTACATGCTTAGGGGTGTTTATCCTCACATATGCAGCTTCCGATTCAAGTATTCTCAGGTTGGTTTAGAGGAAGGTTGTTTTTAATATTTTCCAAGACGTACTACGTACTATGACAGTATATCTTGATCGCCTAATGCATAAACTACTCCCTCTGGTCCTACTTCTAAGGCCTGCCCATTGATCCTTAATACAAAACTTCTAACAAAATTTAATGAAACATTTATAGCTAATTTCCAAAAATTCCCTTGTTACTTTATAATGGCTTTTCCATCCTTTCTTCCCAATGAACCACATCAACTAAGGGCTAATTTTGTAAAGTTGTAGAAGTTTTTAACATTTAACTAACTTTGACTTCTTCTTTTTTTTTTAATTTAAGGAAAGTAACTAATGAGCTCTTATGAAAAGGATCGAGGGGAATGATTCTTAAAATGTTCAGCTGCTAATTTGAAATTTAAAGAAAGTGGACCTAAAAGGATTTGCCTTTCTTCCCTGGGAAGTGGAGGATTTTGATAATGCGGATGGTGGTGACGTAAATCTTAACTATGGTTCCGTTTAGAACAATGGCATATCATGTTTTTAATGTATGCTTGATGTTCTTGCTTGTTACAACTTTTTTGTTTGCTATTGTCAGAGCTGTTCGTTTCACATTTTGTGGAGTGGGTGGCATTCTTGTTCTTTCCGGTCTCATATTCCTAACCTGCATAGATCAAGATGATGCAAGACACAATTTTGGGCACTCTGGAGGTATAGTTAAGTTGATGTGATTCATTAACTAGAATTAAAATGTATGCTTTAAGAAGCCTTCCTTCATTGAAGATCAAGCATAAGGAATAACTCTGTTATCTATCCCTTTACAGGTTTCATTTGCCCGTTGGTGCCACTGCTGCCTGTAGCTTGCATTCTCATCAATTGCTACTTGCTTATTAATCTTGGGTAAGCGAACATAGGATTGTTTTCTTCTAGTGGAGATTGCTTCCCTTGTCTAATGATTGCGTCTTTCATGCAGGGCTGCCACGTGGGCTCGTGTGTCAATATGGCTTGCCATAGGAGTACTTGTTTATGTTTTCTATGGCCGAACCCACAGTTCTCTAAGAAATGCAGTTTATGTCCCAGTATCCCATATGGATGATAAGTTTCGTGCCTCCTCGAGCTGTCTAGCTTAAACCTGCACGAGAATTTCAGCCAAACCCTCATGAAAAATTTCGTCTCCACGATGTGTGTAATTGCAATTGCTGTACAGAAGATGCATCTCAAGTTTCTTAGCTTGAGTAATCAATAGTTTTACATTTTAGACAATGTCCCTATTGTAAATTTTACTTGGCTCATCATGGGGAAGGAGCCGGTGGCGTAAGCCTGTCGCTTGTGTATTGCCGTGGGTGGGGTGAACTTGCGAGCTTGTTCAAAGTTCAAACAGCTAAAGGGGTATTTGAATAGAAATCTAATTATGATTTCAGAAGCGATTATGTGGAAAAAAAAATTGTCTCAATTTGTGTAAAAGTATTTTTTTTAATTCCAAATACCCCTTAAATATAATTTGTAAATTCAAATTGGGTTCCACTCTTCAGGAACTAATGAGACATCTCTGTGTTCTCTCTCTGTTCAAATCTGGGCATGACATGTGTAAATACATTTGGCCTTTATTAAAGTTTCGGAACACATTGTTATTCTTAATGCAGTATGTCTGGATGCGTTACTGGTGAATGAATATGAATAATATATATTTATATATATATATATATATATATATCCAGTCAAAAGAACTAAATACGAATTACGAAGTGTGAAGTCAACATCTTTAAAGTGATTTTTAATGTTAAAAAATTACTTATATTCTTTTGGGATAAAATTATGGGGAAAAAATTCCGCCAATCACAAAATTTTCAGAGTTCTTCCCCACCCCCTCACTTATCATTTACTAAATTCTCGGAAAATAAAGAATTTTTTTATAGTAGCTACCGGTGTCAATATTATTCAAGCCATCCTGGGATGATGGTCATTGCCAATGTTTTTGGGGGCTGAAACGCGGAGCCCAAGAGCCCAAACTTATTTTACACCACGAAAAATATCAAAATAGGACGTGGTCACAGAATGGACTACCGGGAATTAGGAGTGCACATGAGCAGGATTTGATCCTTGTCCAATTCCCAGAAGTGTGAGCAAGCTATATTTTGCAATCTGCTACCCGGTCCTACCCATAGAAGCCCTAATCATTTTGAGCTAGGCTGGACAGGGCGGGCTTCGCTGCCTAAATAGTGATAACATGTTGATATCACATGTAAAAAAATTTCATCTATACCTAAAAATTACATTTCATAATTTTATATTTTTACACATTAAAATTGTCCAGAAATAATTCAAAACAAGTGTTAGCAAATATCCAAATAAATAATATTTATAATCCATTTAGAATAAAACAACTCTCAAGATTGTAATTAGTGTAAACTTGAACAATTTGTAAAACTTGAACTTGTCATGAAATTACTACTATGGTAGAAAAATAAAATTGTTATACAAGCTACCATAGTAGAAAAGAAAACATGTAAACATTTCTAAAACTGCTAATTAGACTGTAAACCGAAGCCCAAACAAGAATGTTTGCATGCAACCAAATCATTCCTTTAAATCTATTGGGCCTCTAAGCCTTCGGCCCGGGTAACAAAAAATATCATACATAAACCCATCCATTTGTTTTTCAACAACATAAACCCAAGTATCATAAAACATTAGAAGTGACCTCCGGCCAACCAAAATAAGGAGATAAAACTTCCTCCAATTTACAATGAGACCAAACAATCAAAAAGTCCCTATATGTGGCAATATACAAAGGCTAGAGGTATTACAGCTAACTAAGCTCAAGTCTTTACGTCCCTTCCCAATGGTACACGCCTATAACCTTCACATGAAAACATTATAAACCACGGGGTGAGACAAAAGTCCCAGTAACTAACTTCCAATTCAGGGTACAAACTAAATAGGTGCTCACAAGGTGTCAAGTGAGACAGTTAATAAGTAATATTATAAACGATAGCCACAACAATCATGCATGTGCAAAGATGCAATCCTATCAACCCTGTCCCTCACTTTGGGGGATTTTCAAGAGCCGAACTCGGCCCATCCCTCACTATGGGAGATGTAAGGAGCCAAAAGGCCTATCCCTCACTATAGGAGATGTAAGGAGCCAAAAGGCTTATCTCTCACTATGAGGGATGTAAGGAGCCAACCATCATGCATTAATAGAGACCTTACAACGTGGTAGTATCAACCAAGTCTCTCACTATTTCCCAATGCATAAATCATGCTCAAGTATTACCAAAGAATAAGTTCGCATTTCATAAATAACTTCAACAAGTGACATATCTTCCAATACTTTAAATCCATGCAAAACCCCACAAGACAATTTCTCTTTTCATATATAAATTACATTTAGAACACCATTTATTACTCAGAGCATGAAAACATAAATCCACTGACAGTATCATAACAGCATGTACAAAGGATTGGAAAGTGGTTACCTCTCACCTGAGCAAAGAATAACAAAACACCATGATGCCCTGTGCACCAACAAAATACTCAACAAGTCTACACAAGCACACAAATGCACAACCACCATGTATTAGTTAACAAACTAATAAAATGGTCAACACAACACTTGATGACTCAAAATTCTTAATCTCAACCAAAACTCTACCTAACTCACAAGGACCAAACCATCATAATAACACTCCAAAAACCACAAGAGACCATTATTACTCTAGTTCCCCTTCCAAAATATCAATTGAATTCACAAACTCAAAGTCCCACTCTAGAAATTCATCACCCAGACACCCAATTAGAACAATTGGAGTTTTAACAACATTCTAAACTAATTAAACATCCAATTCAACCCTCCTTAACATAACCAAATTCATAAAACTCAATTTTAACCACTACATTATCTTTCTCAATCATAAACATCCATTTTTACAAGCCCTAAATTCCCAAAACTTCAAAATCTCCAAATCCAAGAAAACTGCACAAATTAAATACTTAGACTGACCCATAGCAATCATTTAAACTCAAAATAATCGGTCAAAAATCTCAATTCCATCAAAAACTAGAAAGTCCTAGGGTTCCACTACAAAATTCCTTAAAAATCCCAAGAGAAAGAGTAGATTAGAGGTTAGATTCACTTACTTGAGATAATGGACCCTTAGAAACATCTTCCCCAAGCCAAAAATACGAACCCTAGCAGAGCTCCAACTCCCACCTTCAGAAAATCTGATTTTCGCGCATCAGACTCTTTCTTCGAATTTAAAGATGCAAACTTTTCGTCACGGCGAACACATGGATTTGTCCCGACTAACTAACCCCGAGAGGGATTTTTCTGACTTGAAAAACCAACCTTGTCGAGGCCAACTTATACTCCGTCGCAGCGAGAGATTTTTCCCAAGAGGAACTCTTACTCACTTGACCAACTTTCATCGCGGCGTCCCCCTTAACTTCACCATGGCGAAAGGAAGTTCTCCCAATAATCTTCGATTCACCGTGGCGAACAAATCCTAAGAGGGATTTGTTCACCTGTTCCTCCAACTCACTTTGATTCCAAACTAGACACCAAGATTCAAGTTTAAACACTAGCCTATCCTCAAAATCAACCAAAAAAGGCTACCAAAACTCAAAATAAAACTTAGGATGTTACAATTAGAGCCATGAAATTCAAACGGTTTGCATCAATCTCCAGAAAGTTGAGAAAAGAATAAAAAATTTGAAAAAATTGAAGAGCGGTTGAAGCACATTGAGATATTCCATCGAGGGCGGGAGATGGCGATGTAATATAAACTTGATTATCCATCCAAGTGACAAAAATTAAATGTTACCTAAAGGATTGCAAAAAGGTATTAAAATTGAAACAATGAGCTAACAGGAATAATATAGCCCATATAAAAAGAGGGTAAAAATAATTGTAAAAAGAAAAATCGAAAATCTTATAATCTTATAATAATTTAATATAACCACTTTTAATATGTAAACACTTATTATATGATACAATGCAGTTAGCAGTCCGTACAACTAAAGGACTTCTTTCCATCATATGACTTGTTTATAAAAAAATTAATGCAAAATAACTAAATATAAATTAAATAAAAAATAAAACATGTAATTCAGATAATCAGGCCCTAATGTTCTTTCCCTGCTTCTATCCCAATCTTGTTTTCTATCTTGTATAAATATTCAAAATTGTTGATTTATACAAATATGTAATGTATAAACTCCATTATCTAACAAAGAAAGTTGTTAATAACATAGAGGGAAGATTGAATTATAAATGGCCAACATTACAACAGCAACACACAATAGGATATACCCAGTAAGGTTCACGAAGAACAAATTAAAAGCAAGATACTATTGCTTTTTTAGAAGCATTAGATCCCCTAAATGAAAAACTAATAGACATGTGACACTAATAAATTAAATTGCAAAGAGGAGGGAGATAACCTTTTTTTTTGGGTAAAGAAATGTAATATATTAATATTATTTCATAAATTATAATATATATATATATATAATCGGGCAGGGCCAAATGGTGCTGCCCAGCCCAAGGATGCCCATTCTTTTTCGGGTTCTTTTTTTTTTTTCAGATTGGGCTGGACAATCTTTCTTTGGATTTGGGTGGGTTCAACAGGCATTAGGTTCATGTACGCCCTTAGACTCATATATGGGTCGTGGTCAATTCTCCTCCTTTTTAAGTGAAGAACACACCAACATTAAACCGCTTTTCCTCCTTTATCCTTACCATCCTCTCCTCCTCCTTGACTCATAACTACACCGTTTTGATGTGAAAATAGAGGCTGCCCTTCTTTTTATTTTAAATTAATATCTATTGCTCTAAAAATTTTTTTAATAATATTTAATATTTTAAAATAATTTTTAGTGTATTTAACATCGTGAAATATTTCTTCAATAGTATCCAGTATATCTAGTATTTAGTAAGTTGGACTTGTAGCATTTGTTTTAGTAACACACAATATTCTAAACTAATTTTAGGACATTAGATATTAGTGCTAGAAAAATAATGTAGGTTATTGCTATATTAGATGCAATAAAAATTAGTTTAAGATAGTTGATGTTACTAAAAAACAATTTAAAGTGCAGCCTGCTAAATACTAGGTGATATTAAAAAATAATTTTGGGTGCCATGTGCACTATTATTTTAGAATATTAGGTGTATTAAAAATTAGTTTAAGATACCAGCTATTTTAATATAGGATGCTACTAAAAAATATTTTCGGATACTGTATTAAAAATTATTCTAAGATATTGGATAATACTGCCGAAGGATGTTGGTTGAAGGGGGTGGGGGAAAGGACTGGCGGGGAAAGCCGGATCCGTCGGGTCATGGGGTCGAAATGGGCACTGCAGGCGGAGGTAAAACCTGTTTTTTGTTTATATTTAATAGATAAAAATTATTTACAGAAAATTTAGAATAAATAGTAGGAAAAATGATAAAAAAAAGACCTCTAAAATTAAAAAATTGCACATAAGGACTTATTCATAAAAATTGTTGTCAAAATTGATACTATATCTATTATTGTAAAACACATACTAATGTTGCAACAGATCCCTA